TAATAACAACGCCTCAAGTTCCACATCGACCTAAAAAGCTTGATTGAACTTGGATGAGAACATTTCTGAACAATGCTATCGTAAGGATAGCTTAAAATTTTATGTGAACAGTGTAATTGTTTTGGTTTATTTCATTTTTACATCGAAGAGCGTCTGTGCGGCCCAAGTTCTTTTATCGATATTTTTCTACTGATTTGAAAAGAATGCTTTTATATTACAAGTAACCCTCATTCGGTGGATCTATTGAGTCGTTTCTGAAAGAAATGACACGAATTCTGTTAGTAAACCTTTCAGTTACATATTGGGGGTGTGGGTGTGAGTGGTGGGTGTGGATGTGTGGGTGTGGGTGTGGGTATGGTTTATGTCTCACACCCACATGCTCACCGACACCCACACCCACGCCCGTACATTTCATAATGAACAATATCAATACGAACAATCATGGCGACAAGCACAGGAGGTTTGAAGAGAACGAGGAAGAAGTCGTACTAATCATTTAAATACTCAAAATTCTAACTAGCAATGTCGATAACTTTTTCTAATTTTTAATAAATATTGCTTTATTCGCAAGTGTGTTTTTGCTATTTTATCAATAAATACGAATTTAGGAAAACTAAATGGTCATTAAAGTGTCAAAACTAAATATTTGTCTGTAAGAAAGTCAGAACGAACAATCAGGTCTGAGTAGACCTGTCATAATCTTGAGAGTGGGTGTAGGTATGGGACCGAACAAGATGACACTCACACTCACATCTAAACAGGAGAAAATAACTTTTAAGGTCTATAAGAAATACAGTCAGTATTGTTATATATTTCTGAGTAAATCGTTCGTTACATTGCGTATGAGGTGTGTAAGTGGGTGACTGGGTGGATAGATTAAGCGACGAGACGCCCATACCCTAATATCAATTGTTTTATGTTACATACTATATTTTTTCTAACATTTTTGGTTCGCTTAGATAGTGTAGCTTTTGTTTCACCTATTGATAACAGTCATTATCAGTTAAAGAGAAAAGACAAAGAAAACTAATCTTTTTGAAATATTGACGAAAAAAAAATAAAGGTATCATCTTCTCTATAACAGAACTCTTCACAGCTCAACTTATTCATTTTTTTGTCTTTTATATTCAATCTTTCAAAGCATTACATTAATATTTGCTACTTCAATTCATAAGGTTAGTTGATTTCATTCTATCTGCTTGTCATCTTTGCAACGAACTATATCATTTATATAAACATATATCGACAATGAAATGTAACTTTAAGTATTATTCGAGTTTAATACTCTCTCACACAAATTTTCAGTATAGGACGTTCGAACGAGTACGATTGAAGATATCACTTGGCCAGAATGGTGTGATATTTTAAAAACTTCATCGTGGCAATGACAGAAATTTGATCAGATTTTAGTACCTAGAAATTAAACATCCCAGGTGTGGGTGGCACTTTAACTTTGCTTTCCTTTTAAAAAGTAAAGGTACGTTAAATGCTTACACTTTACTTAACTCAAGGTGTGAATGTGGGCGAAAGAGAAGACAGAAACACCCAAACCTACACACATCCACATCATCACCCACCCTTGTTTGTTGATTAACTGATAGACTGATAAGAATTTGAGCACTACAAAGACTATTGATTCCTTCCAGGTGAGAAAGTTTTACCCAGAAACAAAAACACTCAAAATGGGCGGGAACTTATCAAAATTCTTTAACATAATTGAAAGAGTTCTCGAAGATGCTGCAACTGCGATGGCCACAGTCACATATACGATCGATGGTCTCCGACATGATCTGTCTGGCACTCTCGCGAATGTGTCAAATAGGTGCATGAATAATATTGATGTATTGACTCATCGAGCCGATCAGACAGCATATCTATTAACAAATGCAGTTCTGGCTATGATGAATGCCTTCGCTCTTGGTCTTCTTCTTTATCTATCAGATTTCTCACCAATACTGCGCGCTATCGCGTGGACCATGTTATTCAGTCACTGTCTTCATATGATACTTACTTATTTTCAACAAGCTCAGCTTCGAACATTGTCAATGCATCAACAAGCAGCTCTCCCAGGTCTGCCCAAAGAGAAGCAACAAGAAAAAACACTAGATTTCGAAGGTAAATAACAATCCTCGGAAATATCTCACTCGTCTAGCTTAGTAAATATATGACGAAGCCTCCAACGTAGAGTGTACAATATTCATATAGTAATAGTTCCATTTCGAAACATGCTTTAGATATAGGTGTAACATTTTGTTCTAAAAACTTGAAATATGTGCAAATCAGCATGAAAAAACACTATTATTGTTAGATTTGTTGGCTTTTATTGAAGATTAAACCAACCACTAAGCACAACTAACACATGCTTTAAATATGTGCACTCTCCGTGATTGTTAGTCAAGGTCCAAATTTGCTCAAACTTCTTCATTATGTTTATTAGCATAAACTAGTATAATTAGTCCTGGACTGGCAGACAGATTTTTCAAAAAGACGAGAATATTAAGGTGCAACAGAGTTTTTTTAGTTCAAGCATATTTCTGGCGGAAATCGGAGTGGTATTCAGATTCATCACATTCTATATAGGATCTAAGTGTTTCGCTTTGTTACGAAACTGTAAAACTGAGGGAAAAGAAAAACGCCTTTATCCACCTCTGTCTTCTCTTCATTGCTGATACCAGTCCGATTTTGTGAATCGCTTTTATTGTGCTATTCAGATGATTGAGAAAGATAAATGAAAGAAAAGCGACCGTCGTTAGCAACAAATAAGTTATAGTGATCACATTTTTGCATATGTTCGTAGTCGACAAGCGAATTTAGAAAATGCCCCATTACACAACCAAGAGAGCGAGCCGTTTGAAAGTGTTCCGGTTTCTCTTATTCTTGGACATATCCCATTTTCTATGCCTACATCTGTCTTTCTCCATCTTAGACACTAAACCTACCATCATCGGAATAAGAACATTCATGACTAACAAAACTTCGACAGCTCCTAGGGTCATCGCGTATGAATAGGGATCCACAACGGACAACAAGCATGACATTTGTGGTGGACAAACGTGGTCATCTCAGTACAGCTATAGCTATTTCCGAACCGTCTTGTATACTGGGGTAGTTGCACATGGCGCGTGTAGAATTGTAGGAGGACGTATGCAGGTCTCAAACAGTCCTTCAACGGCTCCATTCAGCACAAAACGGTGTTGGGGAAAACAAGACGGTGAAGAATGCACGGGCTGGGATGGATACTGCTGGAGCAAACAGTATGGATCGGGATTTCAAATCACAACTTTTTTTCTGGAGTCAGGTGATCAAGCGAAGGATGCACCTAATATTGTGGGTGGTCGAATGCAGGTAATTGAAAGAACCTTCGATCTCTTTCTCAATATTACTCTGACATAATCAAATGTTTAGGTAACCAATACTGACTCTACGAAAAAGTGGTTGACAAAAAACGAATGGGATAAAAAATCGGCACACGAAGTCGTTATTTCTGACTCATATAATTGGTCTGAAGAGTATGGAGCTGGATACCAGTATACATCCCTGTACTTCGAACACGCCGTCCAAAGCTTATGCATTTAAGGATCGTATTAAGTACTCGAAGACTCTTTGTTATTTTGTTTGTATTTGTTTTGTATTAATTACAAACAACAATTTACGCCGCTAGAAAAATACACTCAAAGTATATAAGATCAGAGTTGAAACTAGTCCGTAGAAAAGTACCAGGACAGTTCGGTCGATCACCGACTGCGTAGAAAATTAGTTAAAATCGGTATTCTAAAACTTCCGAACAGATGAAAAATCGGGTGTGGGTGAAAGAGAAAACAGAAATTCGCATCCACCCTCAAGATATATCTCTTGCTATAAAGAATGCTGGTTCTCTTTCATGTATTCACGTACTACTGACATGGTTGAGTATTTAAGCAGTGAATATTGTAAAGAGAAGGAGGATTCTTGTTGTATGAGAGGAGAAGAATAAAGAATAAAAACTAGCGATAACAGAAGATTTTTTATTTTATAATGAGAATGTTGAAGAAAGTGAATAAGATTGAAGAGATAAATGATATACACTCATGAATCATTGAAAAAAGATATATCTTCAGTTATATTAAAGAAAAGAATAAAGAATCAGTGAAAGAAGAAAATTTTGAGTTTTTTATTTTTCGCCTACTCAAACAGATAAGAAATAAACAAAGATACAGGATCTGAGGCGTCGCTGCGCATATTTTAATCATTAAGAATCACTACGTTTCAATACAAACGAGTTTGTAAGCATCTTTTTATGCGTCAAAATGTAAATATTTTATGCATTGAGCGTCGAGTTTCATTAAGTGTCCGACTAGGTAATTTCTTATAAGTATTAGAAAGCTATTAGTATTGTAATACGAAGTCAAATAACACATCTTTGCTAGCGTCTTTCGATATATAGCTCTTCACTAAACGCGATCTTCCGCATATTAATAGTTTGCTATACATCAGAAGAAATGTTTCTCTGAGTAATACTTAACTTTCTCGCGAGTAAAGCAATGACTTGTACATTGTAAAGACATCAATAACTTCTGCTTATTCCAACTATCGTCCCCGACGTTCTAGTGCAAAAGCTCTGTTAATTGTAAAATTAAGAAAAATAATACTAACACTACTCTTAAGAGATTTTTCGGAGAAATTAAAATTTCAAAAAGTTAATCCTTACCTCTTTCCCGCTTTCTTGTGTTCATTTGAAAGATTTTTAAAGCCGCCTATAGCTGTTATCCGAAGGTGTTATTTAGGAAATAACAGATGCTATCCACAGTTAGCTCTGGACATGCTACTTGAACTGTCTCTACATAACAGAGATGTAGGATCTACGGAGTGTGTGTGGATGTTGAAGAAGATCTACACCCACCTTATTGCTAATTTGATGAATGATACAGACGAGTATAATGTCGTCGTCAGAGAACTGTAACACATCTTGTCTTTAACTAGTTTACTCATTATAGAAAATCAGTAACCAACTAGCACAACAAATGGCATTCACACGAAGCGGACGCTTTGTGGACGATTATATCTCAAAACTACAACAAGATAATTGGAATCCAATATCTGGTTACAAACATCGAGATGTTAAGTCATTAGAAGAAGCTGTAAAAAGTATCGCTCCATTCGTCAACAAAGTCATGCAGTATGCAGAAGTAGCTAAAAACAAATGTAAGAAAAATACAAAACTAACAATAAATGAATCGGCAGCAATCTATCTTTACACCATGATTACACCGTTCTATGAGAAACTCAACGAAGCTCTTCGAGATGAGAATCTACCCGCACTGATACCCTGGTTCGACTTTCTAAAACTGTTCATTACCGCTCTAGCTAAATTACCATCACATCCGGCTACCGTATGGCGAGGTGTTGCAAACATCAGTGGTTCTGATTACTATGAAACTGATAAGTTCACTTGGTGGAGAGTAAATTCATGTTCGTCAGATGCCGGCGTCGCTTCATTCTTTACAGGCGAGAAGGGCACCCTGTTTTGCATTAATACTACTAATGGCAAGGATATTAGTGGTTATTCATCAGCGAACGACAAGGAGAAAGAAATCGTTCTTATGCCTGGAACTCGTCTGTGCGTCAAATCCAAAACACGTAATGATTCAGGTTTTGACGTAGTTCATCTGGAAGAATGGTAAGTCTATTTGAAAAATATTATAAAATCTAACAAAATGATGTGTTAGCCATGCAATTTACCAAACATCGTAGTTTTTGACTTAGTGTAAGGAATATCAAATCATATTTCTCGGGATCGAAAAGCATGAATTTAAAAGTTTTCTATTTTCAAACCTTCAATCTAATTGGTTTTTCAAAAGATAGATCTTAAAATTTTATGCAGTCCATGAACTTAGTATCTATTTACAAAATGTTGAAATAAAAGCCTGCGCAAAAAATACTATGAATCTTCAAGAGCTTTGACTTTCCACCCAATAGTACTATCTTTCAGTAAGTTTCATGCCACAGTAAAAAACATTCATATGTCGATTAACGCCAGGTTCCTAGAATATTAAATGCGTTATATTCTACAGAGATCTTATATTCCTATTATCCAGATGGGATTATCCCTTTTCGTCCTGATCTTTTTTTCGGACATCGGACAGAGAAATTCGTTCCGGATCCCAGTTGCGCCGAAAATTTGGAAAAAAAAGTCCGGATGATCGGAATGAAAAAGACCGGATGTTTGGGATGAAAATCGTACCGATGTCCGCAACGAAAATTACCGGATGGCCGCAACATAAAATGACGGGGATTCGGAGCGAAAACTGTACCGATGTTCGGAACGAAAAAATACAGGATGTCCGAAACATAAAATGACGGGTGTACGTCACAGTGAATGACCGATGTTCGTAAGAAAATACTCCGGATGTTCGGAACAGAAAAGAATTGTTTTTTTATAACAAAATTTATTTTATTTTATTTCCTAATATAGTCTTTCACAAAAAAAGCATTAGACAACAAATATCTATACAAGTGAGAGAATAGGTAACTTTTAGAAGAGAAAAACTTTAAATAAAAACTTTTGAATTGAAAGAACTGTGTTGTACTTTAACGTAGTTCATCGTGATTGACTATACTGAAGACTAATTAGGGAAAGAGAGACAGAACGATATATAGTCGAGCATGATCTTGCTCGGTTACGTATTTTTTGTATTATTATATTTAATGGGCGGAGAAGCAGGAGAAGATGCAGCTGTTGCTGTGAGAGCAATACTTTTCGATCGCGTAATGACAACCATTCAAAATAAGACGACAGAGATATATTGAGAGAAAAGATACAAAAGTTTAGTTTGATAACGATGGTTTTCTAACAACAATAATTACCAAACTTCTTCGTCATTCAGCAGCGATGCGTACAAAGAATAGTGAATACATACATGTATTCTTTCTTATTTTTAAGAACAATGGCTGCTTACGATCATTATATGGATCACCAAATCAATTCAGTATGCAGTGCTATGACTGTTTCAGTCAATCGTATTCAATATAATAGTCTCTAAAAAGTTAAGAAATTTTTTGTTTTATTGTTCATTCCTGCTATCTATCTATAAGATCTATCGTTCATGACTGAACTCTACACTATTTTGAAAAACTTTAATTGAATGTACAAGAAGGAGTCGCTGTACAACGACTTAAAATATATTATATGAAAATTTTTTTTTTAATTATCAAAAAACATACACCAAAATTCATTCCGAACATCCGTCATTTCATGTTCCGGACATCCAGTATTTTTTTGATTCCGAACACCCACCCATTTTATATTTTGGACCGGCAATATTTTTTTTCTTCCGAACATCCGTCATTTTATGTTTCGGACATCCAGTATTTTTTTGGTTTCGAACATCGGTACTGTTTTCGCTCCGAATCCCCGTCATCTGACATTTCGGACATCCTGTATTTTTTCGTTTCGAACATCGGTACCGTTTTCGTTCCGGACACCAGTAAAACGATTTTATGCTCTTTTTTCCAATTTTGAACATCCGGTTACTCGACCGGATGTCCGGAAATGGGAGGACGAAAAAGGACGGAGCCTATCCAGATATCTGAAGTTCAAAGGAAGATTTTTCTTTCAATATGCTAAGTGAAAGGAAAGAGGCTTCCTCCGTATTATTCGATGTGTTCTAATAATTTTGTTGCGGATATTGAAGCCGCAAGTTTAACTGAAATCTATCATGTACGATAAATAAGAACACATTTAGCAGATTTGGAAAACTCATCTTTTAATATTCGGAAACATCTATATTGACTTTCAAAAGTTTGGTCTATGTATAATATAATATGGGTTGAAAAACTTTTCGATTTACAATTGCTCACCATTTTTTGCAGTTTTTTAACTTCTAGTTTCGGCTACCATTCATTTAATTGACACCACTGAGTCTATATTTTTTAGCACCCCGATTACCGAAGGAAAACATGTCATGATATCTTATGATTCGAACAGTCAAGAGATTGTATCCAAAATTTATCATTATCTACAACTCCAACATATACCAATGTGGTGCAATGAACAAAAAGAAATGGCAAGCAATCTAAAGAAAAGGTTTAATTTTTTGCATTAATTTTCTTTCTCTAAACATTGTAATTCGACTGTTCTTTTTCGCAGTTTGGCTGAAGGAGTAGAAAACGCTGCAGTCGTTTGTTGTTTCATGACCCCGGATTATCAAAAATCTGACTTCTGTCAACTCGAATTACAGTATGCACAGAAACGACAAAAACGAATCATTCCATGTATGCTGGCTGATACAAAGGTATGGAAGCCTTCTGATTGGCTGAAGTTGATAACTGAAGATCTCGTATCAATCGATTTTCATAACGTTTCTGAGCCGTCAGCCATGCAAAGAAAGATAAAAGAACTGATTCATAGAATAGAAGACCAACATTCAACACCTCATTGTGTATCGTCACGAGTAGCGGACGTACCGAGTTATCTATTTGAACTGATTAAATATGATTATATGCGAAATAATTGTATTGAACGTTTTATGAATCCAGCCAAATCTTTTCCGATCGATCAAAGTTACATCAATTTAGCTATGATAGAAACCAAAGAACAGCAAGAAAAAGAGAAGAAGTTAAAGCAACATGACAAACAGAACTCTGCTTCAAAACAGCGTAATGATAGGATTCTCGGTACTTATGAAGAGATTTATGGTACAAAAACCACGATCGATGTGACGAATATTTTTGATAAATACAAAGGTCAAACAAAGAAAGTGCTATTGCTTGGTCGTGCTGGAATTGGAAAATCTACATTTTCTCAATATGTTACTTACAAATGGGCCAAACGTGAACTTTGGACCCAATATGATTTGGTTATTTTGATTCGATTACGAAAGTTGACAGAGAGTCGCTATCGATTAGCACAAAACTATTCACCAGTTGATCTTATAGAGAAAGAGTACTTTCCGTTTGGTGATTTTTCGAACGAAGAAAAACAACAATTTCAAGAATACTACGATAAGGGTAAAATTCTATGGATACTAGACGGCTATGATGAGTTTGTACACAACATCCCAGACAAACTAGTAGGTGTGTTCGACTACATCCTCAAGACACAACATCATATTTTAACATCTCGACCTTATGCAATTGCATTGCCGTACGCTACGCAAATGGAGATAACAGGATTCACAAATGATAATATAGAAAAATATATCGAACAGTTCTTCGATCAGATAAAAGACGACATATCAAGTGGTTCTTTCGAAGGCAAAAAACTTCTGCACTTCTTAAAGTCAAACACAAGTATTTGGGGTATTGCCCATATACCCGTGAATCTGGAGTTAATTTGTAGTCTTTGGGGCGATAGGGATTGGTCAAAAAAGAAAACATTGACAATCACAACCTTGTACGATAATATAACAGAATGGCTATGCAAACGACACCTAACAAAACAAAACAATGATTCCACACAAATGAGAAAAAAAAAGCTTTATGATCTTTGCAAAAAGGAGCTACATTTCTTAGAGGTTTTGGCTTTCAATGCAATGGAACACAGTGACATAATCTTACCACCGACACTACTCGAGAAGACAGAACACGAAACTGAATGTGACTTAGACGAGCATCCACAGCTACTTAACTTCGGTATTCTCAGATCCTACAATGACATGCCTACTGGTAGTCAACATCCAGCGGAACAACAATACTACTTTATTCATCTAAGCTTCCAAGAATACTTTGCAGCACGTCACTTAATTCGAACTCTCAACAGTCCAGAGAAACAAAAAGCGATCAACTTTATAAACAAACACAAATATAACCGACGTTACCTTTATGTCTTCATCTTTGCATCAGGTCTTCTCGTACAATCCGACAATAAATCCTCTATGGAAGTGTTCTGGTCAACGATACAGGGAGAGCCTTTGGATCTTGCTGGTTTAACGCACATTAAACTGATCATTGAATGTCTTGATGAACTTACAGGTCAAACTCTCTTCCCAAAAAGCACTGATTTAATGAAATCAATATTAGATTGGCTAGATATATGCATCACTACAAAATCCACCACAATCATCGAAAGTCTGTTAGAATCGCTCATGCGCACCAGTTCATTATGCAATAGCTCTATACTACAGAACAAAATACTTGAACTTCTTCATATAAAAGACCGAGACGCACAACATACAATATATCATATCATATCCAAATTACCAATACAAGAACCTATTCCAAAGCTCATTTCTAAATTATGCGTAGCAATTCAGCATGGAAATGTAAGCGTTAGAAAATCTGTGTATAAAGCTCTAAGAGCGATGCGTGAAAAAGCAGCAACGAATGAGGTGATCTCTGCTCTCATCAATGCTCTTCGAGATGAAGATTCACATATCAGAAAATCTGCGTGTAAAGCTCTCGAAGCGATAGGCGAAAAAGCAGCAAC